GTCAGGCCTGGGCTTTAGGACATTGTCCCGCCTGCTGACCGGCACCAGATGGCTTCCTACGGCATCCTCGCGTAGCTGCTCGGGCGTCAGCACTGAAAAGCGAATTAAGCCGCAAATAAATAAATTTATAAAGCTAGCCTGTAAATCAAGGTGGGGGGGGGGGGGGGCTCATTAGCTTGCTACTCACGCAGATGTACGATGAGCGGGACAGGCCCAGTGCTCCACCCCCCCCCCCCCCCCCCCCTTCTCCCAGCTCACTGCCCCCTACATCCCTAAAATTAGCAGGCTCGAGCCCCGTTATCTGCATCCCCCCCGCCCCCCGGCTGCACACATGTATAAACATGTGGTCCGCTGTTTGTAAACAGGAATCAGTTCTGGGGAGGCGACCCATAAATCCTGCAAGTAGAAAAAAAAAAAAAAAAAACGCTTATTCACCCGGTGAAATTAAAATCCGTCGGACTGTTCAATCAATGTATATATCTGCACTAGAAATTCTGTTTGTGTTACTAAAGAGGTGATTGGTTAGAATATTACTGAACTTTGAACCCACAAGGCAGAAGGATGATTTATACTTCTGTGTAGAATCTATGCTGCAGGTACGGTGTAGCCGCGCATCCAACGCCACAGCCTATGTCCTATGCTGTAGGTACGGTGACACAAACCATAAAAATTGTGATTGGTCCACTTGGTACCATCGCACTTCCTGTGTGACACAAATGTTTTGTTGTTGTTTGTTTCCAGATGGGGGGATTTTAGTGTGGGACAGGTTGTGTCTGGCATATTGCTAGCCTGTGGTTTTTGCCACGATTTTAGCCATTGACGCTGTTAAAAAAAACACAGTTGCTGCTATTCATGCTAAGGGTGTATGATGTTGGGAAAATTTCAGATATTGCGATGTGATTTCTTTTGCAATAAATATTGTGATATTTATAGAGCAAAAAAAGGAGTTCAAAACAAATACATTTCTAACAAACTCATCTATGAGTGATTGAAGCAAGGATGAAAATGAGGATTGGCTCGGAGAACGCATGCAGTGTGCAAAAGCAGCAACGGTAAACTTTAAACTAATGCTAAATATATACTAGAAATCTTGAAAAGTTTTGTCTCCTATGACAGTAAAAATGTTTCGGCAAAACTTAAACCGACTGCGCTCAGCCATCTAGTGTTTTGGTGGTGTAATTGCAGAGAGACACAGACAGACCAGCGCGCAAGTACAAATGCTCACAGTGGTGTAGGCCACTGACGTCGGCCACGGCGTAAGATCTGCGTATCCTCGACACTGAAGTATAAATCAGCCTTAGCCGACATGTCTGGCACACCCAACATATACAAAGGGTACCTGTACATCATGTGCCCATATCCCAGGTCCATGGTTTATAAGAACAAGTGACAAGTTCCAGTTATTGAGAAACTACTTCATTTTTAACAACACTTTCTATCCTAAAGTGATTGATTCCCTTTAAATTTGACTGCTTATTTGTCTTAATAACAGAGCGCAGTCAATCTTCCCTTACATTTCCTGAGTTTTCCATAAAACACAGCAAGCAGCAGCTTCACCCGAGAGACGCAGCTCCCTGCTGTCTCCGCAGCCAGGACACGTGTGGGTGGACCTTTCACCGACAGTAGGCAAGCAAAGATTAGCATCGTAGGTCCCCAGTTCCCTCTTGTTCTCCTCAGCTATGGGCACGGGTGTTTTTTAACGCTAACGGGCACCGTACAGACACATGTACGGCTGAATCTTACCCTACTGAAAGATCCTTGAATGGGTTTGATCTTTTTGTCCAGTGGATCTGTCGTGGGAGCAGATCGTACAAATGCACAGTGGGTAATAAGCAGTATCTGGAGCCTGTTAGACGACATGCTAGCTAATGAGGTGCCTTTCATGGTCGCTGAGACTTCTGGGATCGTGCCACCGGAGACACGGCCCCTAAACCCCCACCGTCCCCGTCCCCCCCACACCCGACCCCACTGCACACACCTGTTTTCAGTCTCCCCAGAGGAACCCGCGGGGCAGGGTCAGCCAGCCTCCCGCCAGCTGGTTACACAGACAGACGGGAACAAAGACATTATTCACAAGCTTGCTCCTTCCGCGAAGCCTTTGTGCCACTGCCATGTCCTCGCCCTCTGCCTCCCAGCCGTCGATACTGGTGACTCTGCATCTACACACTCACACTCTTCCTTGCTAATGACTCCATGGCTGGAGCTGAAGTGCTGATTCTGTGCACCGATTTTCCTGCATTGTCACCAGGGAATCCCTCCGAATGAAGATCCCTGTCAAAGGGAGGTGTTAGAGCATAACGTTAGGAAAATTAGCTATGCACGCTAATTTGTGCCATTTGCCTGGAATCCTTACGGGCGTAAAGCTAAGTCTAGGTGTACTGTCAAGGTGCTGAGGACTGATTTTCCTGCCTTATCATCCGGGAACCCCCCTTAATGGAGAGACAGATTCGGGATCGCTGTCAAAGGGAGGTGTTAGGACATAACGTTATGAAAATTAGCTACGTATGCTAATGTGTGCCGTTTGCCTGGAATCCTTGCTGGTGCAGTGCTAAGCCTAGGTGTGCTGTCAAGGCACTGAGGACAGACTCTGGTTCATGTTTGGCCCTCGGTCTGTGTGAGCAAATGGAACCTCCTCCCAGAAGCTCTCCCATTGGCGCCGGTAATGTCTCACCCTTTTACTGGCTCTTATGCTGTTTGCCTCCCACCCTGAGCTTACGATAGTAGAGCACGGTCACAAAATGGAGCGAAAAAACCAAATAACAAGATGTGAAGGAAGATGCCAAGATGTCGAGGGGCATAGTCACATCCTGCATCTTGACCTGTCATTAGCAGGAGCGCCCATCTCCAAAGCGTCAGGCGTCTCTCATTACTCTTGGCTCCTCGCAAATCCTCTTCAGCGCCGAGCTAATGGGGTCCCAGTGAAGCAGCCTATTCATGAGAGCTTCGCACCCTTGCTTCGCCGGAGAAGTTCTTCTGTTTCATCCCGGCACACTAGAAAGCGGGCTTCTCAGCAGACCCTGTAATCTATGGTAATTGCTCCGTGGGGCAGCAAAGGTCCGTTCGTGTTTATTGTAGCACGCCATGCCCTTCCGGGGCAGCATCCAGCGCCGCACAGAGCTCCCCTAAGTCCCCGCAGGACAAATCCCGAGAGACGCGCTGCAGTTTTGATCAGGACCAGAGTACATGTTTGTCTATTAAGATATGTTAATTTTTAATCCTGCCTCCCTTTTCACACAGCCACAAAAGGGGTGTTAACCAAACTATGACAGTTGCACTACATTACTGTCCCCCTCTTTTCCCGGTGACAATTAGTTAAAGGACAGACACTTTTTAGTCGAACGAAAAACTGTCTTAAGGCAGCACTTTAACGGACAAACGGAAACCAAGCGAAACTTGCAACACGTTGAAGGCGTCTTGGCTTTATGTCATCGGGTGGCCACTGCATTACGTCTGATACTATTCACACAATCTCAGATTTACAAACCTGGATTTCCAATCAATCCCCAGCGCCTGGCATGAAACAGGAAACACATTTTATGCGTGCTCTGACCTCCATGTCATACTTCCATACGTCCATGGTGCTCAGACACTATCCCACTGGGAGTCACTTTCCAGCGACCCCCCAGCCCCCATCACCCCTCTCTAGTCAAAGCTTCACTCCCTGCCTAGTGAAATCAGCTTTTTAAATTACTCCAGTCCAAAGCGACTGTCAGCTCCCTGACATCCTGCACCGAGAGTTAATCCGTTGCATATTATTTTAGTGCAGCGTCGACATAACTACAAATTCTCACGCCTTGCGGCCTGACACGCGTCTTCATCATTTTTTCACGGCTCTATATAAACAGTGTACGAGGGAAGCGAGACTCGTATGTATTACATCCGCTAACAGCTGCCTGTGCCGTGAGTAAACATGTAAGGACACGATGGATCTGAAGCAAGCAGCGCTTTGGCGTAGCGTCGACCCTAGTGTCTTAGTAGCTGGAAAAGCTGCAAGTTGCAGAGCATCCATACGGTCAGGAATGTTGCTGGCCTGATTAGTCTCTGACACACAGATATTCGAAAAAATAGCCACCATGGATTCACACCAATTTGAAAAGTCTTTCATTTTGAAAAAATAAACAAACATTGACTAACAGTTGCATTAGTGAAGCTACCATCACGTCTTTAGTCTGTCTTTGGAACTAGCAATGGAATGTGTGTTTACGTGCAAATCTTGCCACAGAATAATAGCTTTTGTATTAGTGGTCGTCAGTCAGCGGTGCCAATCCTGCCATTGGGAACAGATATCAGAGGAGCGGGATCACGCTGCTTTTCCGTCCCGCCTGTGAAAATTACCTCTACTATCTCCAATCTGGTGTAATTAATGCGCGCGTAATCACATCTGCATCAAAGGAGCCGTGACCTTTTCCATAAGTGCGTCCCCACAATCTTTATCTGTTTTTCTTTTGTAATTTTAGAAACCTGTGATGAAGTTGTCTTTGCTTGTAAATTAGTTTTTCGAGCGTTATTCTTTTGGGGATTTTATTAATTTTTGTATTTCTTCGCAGACAAAGACGGGAAGAAATTATTGCGGGTGTTCCGGATTCAAGGCTGAAATAAAAGCAGAAGAATGACAGAGGGAGGATGAGGAGGGAAGGAATGCTGTGTAAGAGTCTGTATCACAGGCAGGACTGCAGCGTGGCATAGAGGCGGTTTGAAAAATGAGCCAGTGATGCTGGGACTGGCCAGCAGCGGTAACTGGCACCTCCACTGCGAGCCTACAAACTATTACAGTCACTCTGTGGAGGATTCACCCCTGAGAGCTGGGTTCATGCTGGCAGTAATGACTTTGAAAGCTCAGTGTGTAACTGGTTAGACAAATAAAAACCTATTCGGTTAAATCGCATGAGCGGTTTCCCGCAATTAAGGACGTCATCTCATGCATCACCCGGAGACAAGTTCAGGAAAGAAGGCAGATCCGGTGTTTTTTTTGCCTTTTTTTTTTTTGCGGGTGAGCAGTGTAATTGCATCATTAGCAAGGGGTCTCATGGGTGAATCAATTGGATACCCTGAAATTAAATTTGATCAGGCTTGGCTTTTTAGGGGAAACTGTCGGTTTCAGCGATGTAGCTAATGATACTGTGTCGTTCCAGCACAAAATAAAGCATTTATAAAACACGTGTCAGTCTCTGCCTGTTACTTAGGCTGTGTATGTATTCGCTTTTTGTAAGCTCTCTTGGTTAGATGTGATTTAATTTCCTAAATGTAAAAAATGTTTTTAATGTGGAAGTTGGTACTCAGTGTTATGCGTGTTTTTTTTTTTACAGAAAGTAGGTCTAAAGTTAATTTAACATTTAAAGCCTCATATGTGTAGAGGTTGGATGGATGGATGGATGGATGGATATTTATATCTTTGGCATTCTATTAAAATCTGTAAATAACTAACTTTTCTTGGATTAAATAACTGCCAAAAAGATACCCCAGATTACTCATATATAATGACTAACTTGTTGCTTTTTGGAAAGTATTTCAAAAAGTCACTAAGTGCTAACTGACTTAAATAATACTTGTACTATTATAACAATATCAACATTTGCTTAAAATGCTAAAGAGTTAGAAAGGTAACCACCTACAATAGCAGCAGTGTGAAATGGTCAAACGAATACCAAAAACAAATCAGTTGATGACTAAAAATAACAAAATAATTAGAGAGCCACTCAGCTTTCTGAAAAGCTCTAATAGTTCAGAAAAATGTCAACCTAATCACACGAATAGATACATTTATTTTGACAGAAGACTAACTTTATTTTTAGACTTGGATCTTAGTTCTGTGGGTATCCTTATGATACTTGATTTTCGAGTAATAACTGTAATTGTTAATGAAACCTGTTACCATTGTTCTCGCATGTTATTTTCAGCCCCCCCTCACAAGTGGCTGTTATTTAAGCATGTATAAAAAATAAATAAGGAGGGTGTTAGAGCCCAAGGACAACAGAGTTGGGGGCGATTTCACAGGGTCAAGGTCACCGCTTTCTGCTCTCGTACCCGACAGTCCCCAAGCTGTAAGACTGTGAGACATTTAATCGAGGGAGTACTGGTTTCATATCTATAACAAAAATCAAATAATGCAGGATGATTTACTTCCCCTAGCAACCGCCGAGCATACCCTTAGCAACCAGCCTGGCCCCAGGCTGCGGTGTAATCAGCTTGAAAATATTTCAATTATTGTGTTGATTTTAGTGGATTTGAGAGGTGGTTGCTGTGTGCCTGGGCGTATTCATCCCGCGACCCAGAGAGGAAGATATTGATTTAAACAGGTGTCAGAGAGGAAAAGTGGAGTAAATGTAAATGCAATGGGATAGCAAAATCGTTGAGTGTGGGTGTGACATTTGCCCGCTGTTGTCGTACACATGCGGAACAAAAAAATGAAAATGGAAAAAATAGGCCTCAGTCAGCCAGGCACGCAGGGTGCAGGACGTGTTTCCCTTCCTGGTGACACAGGTGTGCCATTAGGGAAACACATCGCTGGGGCAGCACCGATACGTGTTGAAAAACATTCGAGAATAGGCAAAAAAAAATCTAGCCGCTGGACGCTATCGTGATGCTAACACTTATGAAGATGAGCTAGTTTGCTTTAGCTGCTAGCATCGTGTCTTATTTCGGTATGTGTTAACCGTTAGCGTTGCATATTACATTGGGTTATTTTTGCCATTAGCATTGCGTTTTACACTGGCTTTGCGTTGTATCGCCCCAGTACTGTCTGTCTCACAGAATACACGAAAATTGGTTGAGCAGGACCCAGACATGGCTCTGTATTTCCAGTATGAAATTCGGTGTTTCAAAGAGCATTGTTTATAATATTAGCTTGTCTGCATCCACTTTGCATTCTAATCAGGTGTGCTTAAAAATAATGGTTTTTGTGAAAGGGCTTATTAGGTCTAAATTAACCGGCTTATTTATTTATTTATTTGCTTTGCCGGCGCACTGCTTTCGTCGTAATGGGGAAAAGTAATAACTCCGCTCCCCTTCATCAAATTTGCATTGTTATATTTAGCATGCAAATTGATTTATTTTACTGTTTTGCAAACGCGGGATCATTTGAGGAAAGCTAATTTGGAGCCTGGAAGTGCTGACTGTAATTAACGCCGCAGACTGGCGCTTCAAAGGCGCTCGCCCTCCACCTTCCCCGCAACCCCTGTCCGCGCCGCCGTTCCGTAATTGCGCATCACCACCAAGCTTATCTCCCGCCGGCACTGATGTCGGTGGATACTTCCCTCTCTCGCTCCCACTATTTGTCGATTATTTGCATACGGAATTGAGTAAATGGAAGGTTTCACCTCTATTAATCGACTTCAAAAAGTTGGACCTTCGGTTTAATGACAAAGAGGCCCTGGATGCAGGGCAAATTTCTTTTGTTTGTTTTGTTATGCTTTTTCATTTTATGCTATGCAGCCTCCACAAAACTTTCCTGGCTTAACCATTCTGACGACCAATCGACCACATTAAGATTAACAAAGGAAATGGAAACTTTGCCTGCCTTCCTGGTGCCTCCTATGCAGGGGCATTGGAAATAGGGGGGAAGCCCCCCCCCAAACAAACAAAAAAATAAAGAAATAAGAGCGGGTTCCTTATCTTTTATTATGAATCCAAGCGTTACTGAGGTAAATTCACTGTGCATGCCCCCCCCCCCACCACTGGAGCAAATTTGGCCCCCCATATGTCAAACTCTTTCCGATGCTACTGCTCTTATGTGATGTTTAGCTGTATTAAGTATTAAGATGAAAAAATCATTTATATCTCACCAACCTTTAGCACCTGATCTAATGCTTAGTGTATAACTAAAAATATATGATATAAATCCCAGGTATTTTTGTCATAGATGGTCGTCTGATTCTTGTGTCCATCTGCATGCCATTGAGGCTTTCCCACAGCGCAAGATTATGGCTGTTAGGGAGAGTATAGGTGGCGTTTGTCTGTCAAACTTCACGTTCACCTGGAACACTGGTAACAATATCTCAGCTCATAAAGGCTGAGACATATAGCTTTATAAGGGGGTGCATTCCCGGGTAAATACAGGGCTGACAAGTAAAGGAGACCGTTACTGACGAAAAGCATTTGTAAAAGAACCACCTTATAATTAAATATTGACTTTACATAATTAAATAAGCGCAAAGTGTCCTGCATGCAGCCTCCATATCCCCAGATTTCTTCTCGTTTTTCATGCGACGATTCGTCTTAAGTGCTTCCTATTACTGCCATTCTCATAATGTGACAGAAAAAATTATACCCCATCCCCCACAATACGCCTAACAGTGCTTATTAAAGATTTAGAATAAAATTAGTCAAGCCATAGATATATTCAATCTAATTCGCCGCTTTCCCTCTGTTTAGCGTGCTCGTTTTTCATTGTTTTACCACACTTTTAATTAGAGGTTAAATTATTCATGGGCTATGATGGGAGACAAACACGGGAGTTGTAAATGTATTCGTTCGCCGTCGTGGAAAGCCGGCTGCGGACCGGATAGTTTTAACATGAAATCTGAGAATGGGGATGTGGATTCAGTGAGCTGTGGAAGGAAAAGTGAATGTTAGTTAGGGCAGCTAAATGCAGAGACTCTGTATGATGTAATTCTGCTGCTTTAGGATGAGGGTATCTGAGCCATGTTTTGTTTTCAATTAGAGTTATTTTGGCTTGCATGGGTGTTGGTGAAATGTATTTAGCTGTGAGATAAGAAAAGATGAAGAGGGAAGGGAACTGCGGAGAACAGTAGTCACATTACGGATGGCCTTGCAGGCCTTGTCCTCCCTTCCCACTGATGTGGCAAAAAATAATAATAAGAGAAAGTTTGATCTGGACTGTGCAGCTCTTTCTCCAGGGCTGTGATCGCCTCCCCTTTACTCTCTGGACCTGAATTACCCACATCTTTCTGTCTGTCGCTCAGTCTCCTTTTTGCTAAGTGTCAGATTCTGTCTCACGTGTCTCCCTTGGCCTACGTGATTCTGCAAATTGGAAAGCGATGGGTCTTCGAGTGCTGATGTTGCAGAGTGTTTCTGACTGGATGCCTCAGGCAGGTGGTTCCTGATTCTCACCTACAACAGGGGTCACTGGCATTCCTGTGTTCGTCTGCCTTTCTGTTCAGCGTATCACCCACCCCCTCTCAGCCCCTGCACCACAGACAGCCCCCGCCATAGATGAGGATGACCCCCTGGCAGACGTCCCGGACTTCTTGCGGGTCACATCAAAGAATGACTTTGGTAGGATTATTGCAGTCCAGCCCCTGCACATTGTGCCAAAAAGCGCCTTAGGACCTAATAAGAGACAGTATCCACTGTTCAAGGACGCTGAGGATGGTGTATCATCTGTGTACAGGGAGTTAGTCGAGCGAGGGGCTGTTAAGGAGGTAACATAAGCCCCCTTCAGACATGCACTGTCACCCTGAACTTTTCTAGACAGACCCGTAGGGTACAAAGTCCAGGTTATTTCCAGCTGACACCCATGTGTGAATGGAGCAGGAAATTGTCCAGAGAATTCACCCCGAGCCAGTGGGCGGTTTGATGATGTTTGTGTCATGCGACTGGCACAAAAATGGAAGGATACAAACATCCAAGGATGACGCAGAAGGGTCATTTATGCATGCATACAATAATAATTACTGATGAGTCGACAGATACGTCTGCCGTCTTTGATGTGCTGTAAATGAAATACTGCGATTTCCGCAGTGTCCTTTTTCTGTCTTCTCCTGCCTTCTGCATGCTCCACCCTTCGCCTAAACCAACCAGAGTACTTCTAGTAGGTGTGAACACGTCTGTCACAGACAATCTCCAGTTGTGTGCCACATGTGAAACAGCAACTCCAGATAATGTCCGGACCTGATTCTCCGGACGGTGTCCGGAGTTCATGTGTGAAAATGACTATATTGTCCCTGTAACACTCCGATTTTACTAGTTAGGTAGACAAATGAGGCATGGTGTTTTGAGCAAGATTTGAGGTTGGTTACTGATTCAATGCACCCACGTACTCTCATTGTTCCTCTTGATTCTATCCTTTGTCCTATCCCTTCTGCTCTGAAACGTAGGGGTGTAAAGATGAATCAATGCATTTTGATGCATCGATTATTAAGATGGCAATTCAATGCATCGATCTGTAAAGTCAGAATCAATTTTGAGGGCAAAACAAAGATACTCTTACTTTCCAGTAGCTTGCTCATGTGCTGCAGGTACACACACAACATAGCAACGCCAACAGGCAGTTTTCCAAAACACAGGATGCCAAATAAGTCCTCATGGTAATATTATTTTTCAATAATCGAATGATCGATTAGTCAAATGAAATCGTGATTTCCAGTGCATCAAATCATTCCCTCAGTTATCGTAATCGAATTCAATCAAATCACCTTGGGGCGAAAGATTTAAACACCTGGTTTTCTGACATTGACCTTGCAAATCTGTTTTTCTTTATTCCTGTTCTTCTCGATTCATAGTACTGGTTCCCGTTTACATTTCAGGGTAAGTGATGATCATCCTGCAAGGGTATAAGTCTAAGTCACTTTCTGTTTATTCCCAAGAGCTGTCAAAGAATTTAGAGTTCTTCACTGCAGAAGAGGGAAGCACATGCGTCGAATGTGTAGATGATTTGTTGCTTTGCTCACCAACAAACGAAGCGTGTTGAAGACAAAAAGATTTATTGATCTATTTAGCTAATAATGGCTTCAAGGCCACAAAAGAAAAATTACACCTGGCAAAACAGGACGTTACCTATTCAAGACACATTTTGACTCCCGAGGGAAGAGACGTAGATCCAAAATGAACTGAAGCTATTAAATAAACTCCAAAACCTAAAACAAAACAGTGATTGCTGTCAATTATGGGAAGTGTTGGTTGATGCAGACCCTGGATCCCAGGTTTTGCAGAGAGCGCTCAACTACTTCAAGAATTGTTACATTGGAAGGGGCTCGATGTGACGGATGCCTTAACATGGACCGAGGAAGCTGACGTGGTCTTTGAAGACTTGAAATGCAGACTGGGTACTCCCTCATTAGGCATCCCAGATTATAACTTGTCTTTTGTGCTTTTAACGGCAGAGAATAATGGATTTATGTCAGCGGTACTAGAACAGAAGCATGATTGTAAATAGAGGCCTATAGCTTATAATTTGAAAAGTTTAGATTCAGCTGCAGCAGTGTTTTCAATTTGCAGATGACCATTGTGCAGTACAATGGTACCTCAGTTCTCGAACTCATTAGAACTCGAATTTCTTAAAAGTCGAACCAACCAGTTCGAAAATTCCACATGGGGTTAACGAGGGGGCGTGGCACACGGAAGGAGCGGACGATCGGGGCAGTACACATTGTTTTTTTTTACTTTACACATTGTTTGGAGACATTTATTTTCTTACTTTACAAATTACTGTTTTGATAAATGTGCTTAGATGTGTTTAGTACAGTATATGCTCTTCTTGTTTTATCTGGTTCATTTTGTGTTTAAATGCTAAAAAAAGCATATTTAGATGTCATTTTTTGGGGCCGGGAACCAATTAATTGGTTTTCCATTATTTCTTATGGGGAAAATTCGATCACAAGTCGAACTTTTTAGGATTCGATCCAGAGCTCTGAACGGATTAAATTCGAGTTCTGAGGTGCCACTGTATATGCATTATGGAATCAGGCTAGGACCTCGCATTTGACCACAGCTCGATTAATTCATTACCCATCGTACTAATGACTATGGAGAATGTTTTTCCTCACAGGTGTTCTGCTTGTAATCCAGCTACACGGCTCCCTACTGAGGATGACGGGAAGTCTCAGGAGTATTGTGAAGTGATACGGATGGTGACGAAACCTAAAGCTGATTTGGTAGACACCCCACTGGAAGACTGTGTTCTCACTCTGTCTGTAGATGGGTGCGTTCTCCGCCTGGCTGATGGGAGCCCATCTGTATCAGATGCTGTAGTGGTTGGAGAAATGAATCAGTCTGTTGGAATCCCCTCAATTTTTTCAGCACTAGTAACAGAGCTGTTGGCTCTGACCTGAGCATGCTATTTAGCTAAAGGGAAAGAGCTAGCATATACAGTGATTTGAGTATGCTTTTGGGGCGTGGCACAAGCATGGACCTCCATGAAACTGCAGAAACAGAGGCTTCCTCGCCAACAAACTGATACAACACAAAAAGCTAGTAATGAATTCGATTCATGCCATTCAGTTGCCTCTCTCTCTAGCTATGTGCAAATGCCAGGCTCACCTGGGGTTACAGGATGAAGTATCGTAAGAAAATTCTCAGGCCGAAGCTGTAGCGGCTCTCTCTCTCTCCTGTCTGCCCCATTTAATCCTGCCCCCTGCTGACAGATGCGTCTTCTCTCCCTCTCTCCATTGATGAGGTTCTTCTGTTACAGCAGGGAACTGATCTACTGGAGAAAAACTGATAGAAATAAAATGTCTGCATACAGGGGCGGGATGGTGTGTGGAAGGTAAGTGATGGATGACCCGTTTTGCCGAGGTTGGGCAACCCTAGAATTGTGGAACGTGTACATAGTATTGATCATGTAGGTAAAATGCCAAATGTTGAATGCAATGGATAAGTTTTGGTTCGCAGCTGGGATAAGCACCCAGGTGACAAAATCTTGTGACAGATGTATGTGGTGATGGCGGAACCACGTAGCTAAAGGCTAGGATGTTCCACAGGAGAAGCCCCTAGTGCCAGAGGGTCCTTTTTGTCATTTGATGATGGACTTTATTGAACTAGCACCATGCAGGTGTCATCTTGGATCTCTATTCCCAGCCGGCCGTGGCCTGCCCCTGTAGTCATGCCACACCTCTGTCAGTAGCTGATCATCTGATTCAGGAACTGTTACCCCGAAGGGCAAGGGCGTCCTGCTGAATTTAACTTTGGACAATGGGACCCCTTTTGTAATTGTGGTAATAAGCAAACTGAGTGACAAGTTACGCATAGATCTGAGACGTCACTGCACCTATCACCCTAAGAGTGGTGGGGCAGTGGAGCGAGTAAATGGCACAAGAACAAATTAGTTAAGGTACCTGGTGAAACGGGCAGGGACTAGATGACGGCTCTCCTTTTGGTCCGGACACACCTCTGAGTTAGGCCTCACTCGTCAGTGGACTTCCTGCATGATGTGGGCCTTATCTTGGCCTCTCAGCTCCCTTTACTCAAGAGCAGTGTTTCCCAACACAGTCCACGTTTTTGCTCCCTCCCAGCTCCCAGCCAATCAGGAACACCGAATACCTGGTACAGGTGCGCTGGGAGCTGAGAGGAAGCAAAAACGTGGACTGGGTTGGGAAACACTGATCGATAGGACCTGGCAGACCTGCCTCTGGTGACAACGCTGAACAGCACAAGAGGAAGAGACGTCATGACAGAACCCCTGGCATATGGCTCAGTGGGATAAGTCTCTGTGCCTGTGATTGGAAGATCACTGGTTTGAGCCCTGTCCCTGCCAGAACAGTCACATGTCTGTGAGCCCTTGAGTGAGACTCTTAACCCCCATCTCCATGGGTGGTGCATATTGGCTGAACCTCCCCAGGAACCCCCAAGCTATGGAGCACAAGATAGGGTCAGTGAAGTGAAATATTCCAATGCATCTGTACTTGTGCAAATGGCAAATAAAATATTTATCAGATGAATATCCCAGACACCCCTCAAAACATTGTTTTTCTTGGAACTGGGTGGGGGATTGAAAGGATTGCATTGTACAATTAATCATTGTGGTGTTTGTACCTCTGTGAACAGTTGCATTTAGTTGTGTTATAAGGGGACAGTGTGGAAGGAAGACAGAATGTTAGTTAAGCCAGCTGAATGCAGAGACTCTTAATGATGTAATTCTACTGCTGTAAGCTGAGGGTATCTGAGTCGTGTATTGTTTTCAGTTAGAGTTATTTTTGCTTGCACACACACACTGGGGCTATCTGAAATGTATTTAGCTGTGAGATACATCCTACTGATGCACGAAAATGAAACCCATCCTTGTTTTACTAAGTGTTCAGACCTTGACATGGCAAGATAAAAGAATCAAATAACTGCAAAGCTAAACACAGTTGCAAAGTTTAGGCAGAAGTATCTCAAGGTTGTGCAGCTGTCTGGTTTCTCTCAAAAGCCCTATAATAACCTGGTTAATTTAGACATAAGAAGGCCTTTCACACACCTGATTAGAATGCTCACTGCCTCTGCTCTTGATGTGTGTGTCTGCCCTGTTTGAGCACCGAAGACAAGTTGCATGCACCGCTGAAATACACTAATTTTCCTCGTCCGAGTAGAAAATAAACTTTTCTCTCGAAATTTCTACAACAAGGCGAAAGAAGAGACAGCCGGCACAGAGCTGCAGTCACATCTGGCCGCCATGTTTTCTGTAATAAAGTGTGACAGTGCGAGAGTGATGGGCAGGATGTACACACTCCAGTGCTACTGTTTGTTTGAAATGTCAGCACCACAAATCAGTGTAGTGGATGAATATATTTCAGAAGTGTGAGGTCTTTTGACTTGAAACAGTCTGGTGGATAGTGCTTGAGAAGAATTGGGAGTTGGTTGGAAGGTGGTTTTGAAGCATCCCACCTCACATCAAAGCATCAGAAAGGGATAAATGAATGTAGATGCTGTGAATGTCCTGCACTTGTGGGTGTAATGTGGTTTATAAGGCCCTATAACGTTCCCTTAAAGCTTTTCTTACATCAGCTTTTGACTGAGTATCGTTCTGCTTGAGTTTCACTCAAGTCCTGGTTTAACCCAATCTATTAGTTACTTAAATCAATTGAACAATCACATCACTCTCTAAGAGAACTCAAGCCCTAATTTCTTCCAGCCCTAGAAATGTTTCGCTAAAAGCAGTAGTACAGGCACACCGATTAATTCTAGCTGTTTAAATGACGAGCGCTTTAATGTGAAGTGAAATGGAATTAACACCTATTGGCAGGGTTTGATGGACATGTGCTCTGTAGATACACACACCATTTTGACTTCCCCGGTGGAACGTCAGCGTTCTCGGAAGAACAGGAAACGAGCCGCGAGAGGCGAATGGACCCTTGGTGTACGTGGTATCCTTGAAGAACCAGTGTTATTTACCGGCACTGATTTGGGACACATCTAAAAACTAACTTTGCCAACTTTCATTGCGGATGTCAGTTCCAGAGATGCACGGGCTTTCCTGTGCGACGACAGACACATCCTACTGAGGTTTCACTCACCAAAGTGTCTGATAAATGCCTTACACATTTCCTTGGCCCCTCTACGGCCTGTCTGATGTGATTCAGGCTGATGGACCTGTCAGGTGTCACCATTTAGTGGCTGTTTCGGATTCCTCCCAGCCCAGAGGGATCTGCTTCACCGGGATATGTGACCAAAGGCTATTTCTTGAAACAAATAGGTGCTCCCTGTCCGTGCTGCATTGTGCTGTAATCACAACCTTGGAAAATTGTCTCCATATATTGAAAGTGATCTTCAGCACCCCGAGGAAAAGCAGGAAACAAAGTAGCAAAAAAATTACAGTTTTACCCATGGAGCTTAGCGGAAGAGAGGGCTAGGTAAAGTGAAAAATATAAGGGTGATTAAGCAGTGCATGCCAAGAACTGTGCTCATGCAAAATCAAGCAAAATGTACATTAGGATGCTTCAGGGTGGTGGACGACTCGACTGCTCTGATGTCCCCTTTGTGTCTCTTTGTTTTTCTTTAGCCTTTTTAAGCACCCGGCTCAGAAAGACAAAGGCAGCAATTGAACATTTCCTCTGGATCCTCTCAACCGGAAGAAAGTGGATTAGATCAATGCACCAGTAGATATTTGGAGAGGGGGAAAAGAAAGTAACAGGAGAAATAGAGGCGGAAAGGGCGCCGGAACCTTCTCAGCCTCCACAAATGGAGGTCTCAGCAGGACGCTAACCCAGAATGGTTTGGCAAAGCGGACAAGTGGCGGCAATGAATGGGCCCCCACTGCTCGCCCAATCACCTGAACTCGATCCAATTGTGTCCATAAAATATCACGGAATGAAGGACTGCGGATAAAACAAATAAAACGGAAAAAGGCATCCACCGGCCATCATCCCGAATCCAAACAACAGTCCCCCAACTCCACTCACCCCGCAAAGGAAGGTCAACTCGCGAATAATTCATTAACGAAAACAAACGTCCTCCCACGTTTACTCTGTCAATATCACTGCCGCTGAGTGGCAGTTCAGTCACCCACTGTGATAGTTGGATTATATCGTTTTGTTTGTTTAATAAACATGGCGCTTACTTTTTGGTGGGAGCGTGGTATGGGTCGTAAATTATTACAGTCAACAATTCCCGCCCTTCGGATGCCACGGCAACGCACCCGATCAGTAGTCCGAGGGATTAACCTGCGACTTCCACACTGAGCACGTCGGAAAAGACGGCAACCGTATGGGATTAGGGTGTCAAACTGCCGGGCCGCTGAATAGAATTCAGTGATGGAGAGAACACAACTTCTTTCTGAGGAGAAGTGAGAGGCTCTCTCTCTACCTCCCCCCGCCAGTGTTAATTTATTCACAAACACCGCCACCGAGATTCACTGTAAATGTCTCCGGATTAGATTTGTACAGCTGTTTTCCAAAGCAGGCGAGAAGACAGTGAAAGCGATTAGGATGTATCGTTATGTATCTGTTTAAACATCTTGAATTATGTAATGGCGTTTGTATTGTTAGCTCTCGTGGATGTCGAAAGCAGGGCCGTATATTATTCGCTCCCACTGCACAACCTGAAAGCTTATTTCCATATTTTTCTTTTAATTTAATTCATCCGTGGCAGGTTTCCCTGCTGGAGAAAGTCTTAGCTTGCTCCCCGAAAATTAATGCCCCGTTACTTCTCATACATCTGCCTTAAAAAGCGATAGGTGGCACTTTAATTATTTGCCCCCTTGCTTTAATCTTTTATTTCGAAAGGCCAGCCCGTCCGTCGATAGCGGGAAAATGAGCATAATGCCTTAAAATGTTCCATCCTCAGCTTTTCTCCCAGCCGTCGATAACGTGTTTGGAAAACAGTGATCCGTTGTCATCCCGAAGCCAGCTATAGATATGGTTACGCTTCGGAAGGGTAAATAGTATCGATTCTGTCCCGCTATCACCTCTAATTTCCTGCTAGTTGTGCTGCAATGGGATCCTTTATGACTAATCACACCCACTAACAGGGCTAGAGCAAGACTTCCTTATTTTTAAGAGCCGTGCCCTTAGCACTAAGATGGACTGAAGTGGTTCTGCTCTTCCTTTTGCCAGCTCTGCTCTACTCTAATTCAGCCGATTGATTTGGAAGCAAAAAAAGTGGCCGGGAGATAGACTCCATCTATACTGGCTCTGCCAAGCGCCCACCTTGGCCCTTTTTGTCACAGACATTTAGAATTTAGAGCCACATAACGTTACGGTATTCATCCAACCTAGCATTCACACTTATCTGAGCGACTTAAACGACCGGTCATCAATTTTCACCTTTTTTATCGGAAAGGATATTTATCGAGCAATTCGGGATTTAAGCGTCTGGTGATGGGAGACGCATTCGTTATTCTGTACTGTTAGCATCCCTGAGAAGATGTATGAAGGCGAGCCATAAACGAGAGCACTTACAAACGCATAGCTGGTCCGGGAAGAAATGGAGGCCGAAATGCGTACGAGGAACGTAAATCGTAAGGTGTTGGCTCCGTCGCTGGATTGCGGAGTTTCGTGGCTCTCAGTTTCACTGGGAAGGGGCCCAGCAGACGGCGTGTTTGGAGTTCACGGCGGGAGCCTTCTCGCCAGCCATTTTAATTGCAAACAGAAACTGCCTATTAAGTAGCGCTGGAGCAAACGGAAGCCAAAGCGAGATTCGTGAAATGAAACATTGGGCACTATTTAATTTAGGTGATAAGTTACCAGCTCTAAGCCATTATATCTTGTGGACTCCAGCCAGGAAGGGCTCTCTGCGGCAATAGGGATTCCGCATTGAGTGTCTGCTAACATAAAATCCTGCTTTGTAATATATAACAAATATTTCTTCTATGATATGCAAGGAGGGAAGAAAATTAGAATATTTATAAGATGTATTTTTATATCTATATGCATGTGGTGTCTGGTATCTCATGCTACAATTACAGTAAACTGCATTAATTTGAAATGTCGATATTAGATAATACAATCGTCCATTTAGTATCGCATTCCCAGAATTACACGAAACATTTTTGACCATTTTAATCTTCTAAGCACATGACAGACAAAGTTCAATTTCATGCTAAATATCTGCATGCAAACCATGCTGTACATCATTGTTACTAAACGACGGATAGCCTGGTTCCTCAGCCTAAGGGACGCACTCTTCCAAGCAGACTCCTGCTCCTGTTTACTCTCCGTATTCAAAGCTTTTAACATCTTTTTACATGCCACAACTTCTACAGGGGTTTTTGAATCTCTTCAGTCCTCCTGTGAGAATATTTGCTTCAAATGATCAAGCCAGCTGTGGACCAGCATTTCTGCCTGTTACACGGAACCAGAACACGAGCCACAGGGTCCCGGCTGAGGCGCCTCTGTGTGTGGGGGGGGGGGGGCTGGGGGTGTACCCCCACACCCAGGTGTAAGCAGCCAGGACTCGCACTGAAGGGCTATTTTCTGGGGTGGTGAGGAGCTCAACAGATGAGGCCTCCGTGCCTGTGATCTAAAGGGTGCTGGTTTGAAAGCTGTACTTGGCACAATGGTTCCATAGCTGTGGAGCTCTTGAATCACCTCTATCTATGTTTATCAGAGTATGATCCATCTGTAATTCTGAGTTTTACGATAATAGCACAATAATCTGAAAAAAATACATTTTAATAAGGTAAACAACCAAAAATAACAAAAATAATTTCCTCTGGTTAGTTGGAATTTCAAACTGCCCATGGTGTGTGATTTAGTGTGTGTGTGTGTGTGAGGGGGGAGTATGTATATTTTACATTGTGGGGACCACATGTCCTCACAATGTGATAAAAACCTGTTATTTTGACATTGTGGTGACTACAGGTCCCCACAAGGGAAAGCTCAATTTTATAAAAAATCTGTGACTGCAATCAAAAAGCTAAAAATTCATTTTGCTTTGGTTATTTATGGTTAAGGGTTGGGCTGGGTAGGGGTTAAGGTTGTCAATTGCTGGGATTAGGGTTTTTCCCATAGAAATGAATGGACGGTTCCCAAGATATGAGTACAGGTTTGTGTGTGTGTGTGTGTGTGTGTGTGTGTGTGTGTCTCAAAGAAGAGAAAGATGGAGTATGCAAAATGAAGGGGAGTTGTAGGTTTTTTTATGACTGTTGTATATTCCCTGAAAAAGAAGATTTAAGTGTGCCCAAAAAACAGAAAACACGTTTAAATTGTTGACACGGTAAAAACCTTAAACTTCTGATCACATGAGCCAGCAGTCAGAGCTGGACATGTCTCCATGTGAGAGCCACATAAATATTTATGTCTTTTATCGTTCATTATATGTGGATCAAGGATTCCTGGTGCTTACGAACATTTTGTCTAACGCCTGGGAGAGATTCAGCTAACTCTGCAGAACATAAACGGCTTGTATTATGTCAATGAGCCAAAGTTTCCTTAATGCTCCCAGAAGAACTTGGCAGCAAAAACACATAATGAATTAATTGTGTTAATTCTCTTTGCCAACTTAAGCTAGCCACATTCTCGCAAAGCCCTTAGGGTATGAGGCGCTCACATAGCAGAGCAAAAGTGCCACGTCCGCCGTTTTGCACGTGACATTACTGAAGGAGCCATGTCAGTTTTGTGAAGCTCCGCCCATTCATGGAGGACCAAGACAACGGAATACCGACGCTGTTGTGGAGTTTAAGAGTAAGAAGTGCCATCCTGGAATGCACACCCCACTTTGCATATGGTCCAAACGGATAGGACACTGCAGACTGCTCATCGCTAACGCAGTGCATGGCCTTGGGGGCTGTACAGTGAGCCTCATCTATAAAGCCGATGAGCCAGTCTGGGTTAGTTGTAGCTGAAAGATGACCGGAGGTCTAGTATTATGCTTAATGGAAAACTGAGAAAGTCCCTCTAATCTCAGGAATGAGCATCTTGTCACTCTCCACCTTTATTATTGTGATTTGTATTTTCACTGCACATTTTGGAATGGCGTTTGTAGTGAGTTTATTTCACTTTTGATCATCCTCTTGGTTTATGGTGGGAAAGAAACAGAAATACTCACGCTGGGAAATGTGGAAGAGAAGCAGAGGAATATGAAATAAAATGTGGCGGTTTTGATACCAACTTTATTGGCACAGCAGAGACCAGAGACAAACAATAAACAGAAACCATTGGTAATTCTTGTAAATGTGTCACTCCCTGCATATCCATGAGTGTAAGTGTATAATGGGGAAGAAGGTAGCAGAGGTGACAAGGAGCAGCTTACAACAAGAAAGCGGCTGGTTTAAATCCCAGGGCAGATTGTACCTGATTTACTCTGCTAGGAATTCCAACTGTCTAAATGCGCAGGATTTAAATACAAGTGTTATGAATCAATGCCTTGCAATGGACTGGAATCCAGTCCAGGGTGTTCCTTTGCACTCCAGATCCCGGGATCACCATGACCATGTACTGGAAAAGCAGTTATGGAAGATGGATGGACATTACAAAATAATGAGCCTGGAATTGACATATTGGGTTTCTTCCTTCCTCACTTTAAATTCGCTCACAGTTTTATATCCTGCAATTCCCCCAGTTTCTTTTTGTCATCCGAGACGATTATTGGCCCAGGCAAACTGGGAACGACGTTAGGTTTTTCTGCTGGGGAGATTTATTGATGTGCTGGGAAGCGTCAACTTGTCGCTCACCGTCTCTCCCTCTGCTCTGCATAGCTCCTGTGTCCGCATCAAATAGTCCATGATAAATAGACTCGGAAACTCAGGTAAACTGTGGAAAACTGTGTCACGAAACTTCCTGCTAAAAAACATGACAGGGTAACAGATATATGTGTCGCTTAGGCAGTGTGTTCCCCTAAACCCTGCTGCACTTCTTAATCACGGTGCGATTAGAAAACTTAAACCCAACTGGGATCCTCATACTCTGTATCAAAGCCTCAAAAATGGAAAGTATGACCATGTCAGGACTGAGCTGAGACAAAAAGGTGTGACTGCAAACACAGCAACAGCGACTCATCAGTGGTCAAGGTTTTCATATCATGTGAAACACAAATAACCAAGTGAGGCTGGTTTGCTAAAAT